GGGAGCACCGCCACACTCCCAAGCGGTGCACTGTAGCAGTGCGCCACCGGGCCGGCCCAAGTCAAGATTTTTTTAATCTAATTTTTAAATTTTCTGAGTGTTTATATATGTACTTAATTTATCTTTGTCTAGAAAATGGTTTGGAAAGATATATACCAGTCTGTTAACTGTGATTACTTCTGGGAGTAATATTGGATGTTTTTGTAGACAGTTGGAGAGTATTCACTTTTTGTTGTGTATAGTTCTGTGTTATTTATACTTTTACAACAGGAGTATGTTACTTTATTATATAAAAATAAAGAAATTTATTTATTTATTTATTTATTTATTTGACCGGTAAGGGGATCACAACCCTCAGCTCGGTGTCATCTGCACCACGCTCAGCCAGTGAGCACACCGGCCGTCCCTATATAGGATCTGAACCTGCGGCATTGCTACCAGCGTCACGCTCTCCCGAGTGAGCCACGGGGCCAGCCGTAAAGAGATAAATTTAAATGACACTACTGTATAACACTTGTCACAGAACTGAATTTTTGTGGTTCCCTTCTTATGCCATTCATTTGGTAAAGACTAGCCTGTATATATTTACCTTTACCTTTATCCACATTAAATCCTAGATTTGTGGGTCAGCTAAAAATAATTTCTTACAAATTATTGGGATTTAAAAGAAAAATGGTAGCAAGCAAGAAAAGGTATTGGTAAAAAATAAACAGGTTCTAAATTTGTACAGATCATTTGTTTACTGTGTTCAATTGCAGTATTCCTTTCTGTGAGCCAGTAAAAGGAGCCACCTTTGCATAATTTAAAGTCGTGTCTCCAGAATGATTTAATTGAAAAAATAGTTTCATATTATGTTTCAGTGTGCTTTTTAACAGATTTTTGCTTTTCAGGTATCTCAGGACCATGAAACAATGGCCCAAGTTTTGTTCAGCAGGAATTTGAGGTTGAACGTAGCTTTAACTTTCTGGAGAAAGAGAAGTATAAGTGAACTTGTAGCTTATTTGGTGAGGTAAGTGTGACCTTTTATGCTCTTTATTCAGTAAAAGTAATTTTCATTGTGCTGTTAGAAGTGCCTCCTTTTTTTTTTTTATGTTATTACTGGCTAAAATTTTTAACTACCTATGCTTCAATAGAGAATGTAGTTTACATTCATCACTAGTCTAAGAGTAATCAAAACACAGAAGACCATCTGTTTTATCAG